AATATAAAATTCCTATAGAAAAAAAATCGTATAAGTCGAGAATCGTTCCCCAGGTATATAAAGCTCTAGTATATTGATTTGTTAATTCCGCATCTAATTTTAAATGGCGATAGATGTAATTTATGCATATCCCTCTCATATAAGTAATTTATTTATCCATTTTAAATGATGCTGACGGTTGCATTATTAAAACCAGTGGTGGATTTTTACGATTTATCGCTATGAAATCGAATCAATTACTGGAGTTCGATAATCGACCAATTAAATATTTAATTGTTTACCTGTACACCAGGATAGAATCGTGGAAATAACTAGTAAAGCTACTACAGAATTTATTTGATTTTTTAAGTTAACAAAATTTTCTTTATAATTATTGGTTTGCAAAATATAATAGTTGTAGGTATTAAGAGTCAACAATCAGGATTTTGACGAGTTTATAATCTGCTGAGCAGACGGCTGTCTCTAGACACCTCTCAGTGTAAACCATCAGTTTTTGACGAATTTATAACCTGCAGGTCTTTGACGAGCTAAGAAAATGGCTGTCCCCAGACACACCTCAGTATCAACCAGCAGGTTTTTGACGAGGTGATAATCTGCAGGACTGTGACAATCTAAGAAGATGACTGTCTCTAGACATCCCTCATCGTCAACCAGCAAGTTTTTGATGAGTTTATAACCTGCGGGACGAACTAAGAAGATGGCTCTATCTCTAGACACCCCTCAGCGTCAATTAGCAGATTTTTAACGAGTTGATGACCTGCAGGACTGTGACGAGTTAAGAAGATGGCTGTCTCGAAGCACCCCTCAGCGTCGACCAGTAGGTTTTTAACAAGTTAAGAAGAGGACCTATATGACCCTGGAGGATGTACAATGGGCCTTATAAAACCTCAGTGCTGTGGAGCAATCGTCACCTTACAGATACAAATAAAAGACCGTATTGAAGAATAGAAACTGATATAGATACAGAAATAGAGACAAATTAAAAATGTCAAAGCCATGTGCCATAAAATAATACAAGCGACCTTCTCTCTTCGATAAACAAGTCCTCCTTTGGCTAATACCACAAATCATTGTTTATATTTGTGAATATTATAACCCTTAGGTTTTTTATTTTATAATTTCTGAATATATTCTAAAATCGGGTTTTCTTAATGGAATTTCCCGGTTGTGCCTTGAATTTACCAATTATGGCAACATACAGTTTAGATAAACCTTTTCCTTCGTATTTTTGATGTAGAAATTTCGTCTTTTTATTATACAGACCTGCTATCTTAAATGTTATCAATGTTTACCATTTTTCATAAGCTGGTTCGTATAGTCGAAACCCCACTACATATGAATTCCCCAATAGCGATGTAGTACTAAATTGGTGCGAGATCCGCTGTCACTTATGGGTGGATGCGAATGGAAGGCCGTTTTCGAAATAAGAATAACTCAGCTGTCTTTAAACATAATTTTAATCAAGAAATATGAAAGCTTATATGTTATATTTAACAATGAAAAAGCAAATTATGTTTTGAAAATAATATCAGGCAGATGACGTTCGTTTCTGCAATGCCCTGCTGTAGTTGTTCCTCGCCCTCTCACACAAGTCATGTCAATTGCTCTAACTGTCCCCGGTAATAATAATCTTATTCTGTGAGGTCAGGATAACGAGGGTACCAGGGCACATTACCGAAACGGGAGTTTACGTGTCCACGGAAAATGCGATGCAGAACTTCGATTGATGCTGTATGTAATGTGGCACCATCTTGTTGGAACCAAACATTTCTTGTGTTAATTTTTTGTCGTTGGTTTCTGGAATTAAAAAGTTTTACAATAATGAACCTTATCGCTCATCATTACTGACTTCCCAGCAAAAGTAATTTGCATTCTTTCGGCGAGCTGCTGACTTTGGGCAAAATCTCCTTCATTCAGGTGCTGGAAAACCATAAGCTTAAAGGGATTAAAATGAAGGTAAAACATTCTGCGGTAGACGAAGAGAAGAATGATCTGAACTAAGGAAAAGCGAAAGTTGAGGTGGCAGTTCTATCGCCACTGTGGGCAGACAATGTGCGCGATGACTGCATTGTATATTGAATCAGATTTTGGTGATTTTGAAGACCAAATAATAGCAACTTTATTTCACAAAAAGGTTCCGAAGCAGGTATTTAAAGAAAGATAGTCCTAAATCTGCAATTTTAAATTTAATTTTAATATAGTCAGCACATGATGTGTCATAAACAGAACTTGTCTCTCCATAGTCACTAGTGAAAACTGTGGCCCGAGCACAAACCTTCGCAGCTCACGGACTTCCTGACACTGAGTCACTTCTTTTCACCCTGCGTGTTAACAAGCGCTGTTTTATTCATTTCATCTGTTTATATCGAAAGTAATAAAATCGGATCACAAAAATTGCTTGCAAAGGGATTTCTTTATTGTTACAGATGTCTAAAAGCATATTATTTCATTGCGAATAAAAAACGAAAAAATCCATCGATAAGCAACATTATTTTGAATTTGTCAGGTTACATGATAGCTCCCACCACCATAACATAGTACATGTTGTTTAGCCCCTATACTAATTACAAATAGCAAGCAAAAAAACATGCTATTTTTTGCAGTCAGATGAGGGACTATTACGTTTTTAAGCAAAGCGTCAAAATCAAAAGCAAATAAATCCGCTTCTAGTCGAATTTGAAAGAATTACCAGAACTAAAATGTAAACTGGTAATCTCCCTAGAGTTTGGAAATTTTTTCGAGTAACAATTTTCTCAAAGAAAAATGGTGGAAAACTTTCTGCTCATTAATTCAAAATCGTGGGAGATTAGGTATTAAGATTTCACACCAAAATAAAACTTAAATTAAAAATGACATTTTAATTATGAAATATACGAAACTAAAATTGCGAAGTGTTCTTTGTAACTGTCAACGAACCTTTCAAAATTAACGGAAGCTTGTTTATAAAAATATATTATATACAGGATCCTGTAACTGTAAAACTCAACTAATATTTTTGGGGACAGCAGCAAAAGGTAATAAAGAAAACTCTTTAAAGGTGATCCAAGCTTTCGGAAATTTATTGACTTATTTCCATCTTCAGGGAATCTATAACATGTGTGGTATGTCTTAGTGAGAACTTAATTGAATTACGATGAGAGTGAGAGTGAGGATGAATTACTATGGATGTTAGATGAACCCACTTTTTCCTTTTAACGGCGGCACCCCCAGTACCCTCGACATTGCCTTTACCAAAAATATACCAGACATACACAATATGAAAACCATCTCTACCCTTAACTTTGACCATGATCCAGTCTACATGGAAATTAGAACTGAAAATAAATCTCAAAGTCAACAAGGAACATTCTTTGATTACTCCAAAACTGACTGGATCATGTACAGAAAGACATTAGACTCAAACATTAACATCAAACGACACAAGACATTGACGTAAAGTAACAACGCTAATAAACCCCATTAAAATAGCACGTAACAGCAGTAGGGGAACCGGGTATAGAACGGGGTACCAAGGTAGAACGGGGTACCGAGGTAGAACGGGGTACCACTATCATAATTGTGTAGACAAACAACAAAAGGCACAATTTGATCATGACAGTTGTCAATCTGTCACTAACATTAAAAGAAGAATTCTAACGTATAATAGTACCACATGGAATTAATTATAATAATTTTAATTTTATTCGTAATTCAATGTTTTTTAAATAAATTTTAACTTGTAACCAATAATTTTTAAGAATAGTATGTTTAGCAATTATACAAATATTTAGTTTTAATGTTGTAAAACTGTAGTGACACGTTATGATGTATCATTTAGCATCTAACATCCATAGTAATTCATCCTCACAAAGATGTAAGATGCAAGCTGTACATTTGATAGAAATATTTTCACTAATAATCTCTCTAGAGCTTGAATTATTACCAAAAATTTTATGAATGTATCTTGTACAAGTTAAATTTTGTTAATATATGTTATATTAAGGGATGCAAATAATGGATCCAAAACATACTGTTGATTTAGGTAATGTACAGGCCCAGATGGTTTCTGGCTGTTTAACATATCTACAAGTTCTAATAATGAAGCCAAGAATTTTGCACGCTTTTACGTGATTTAAGTTTACATGATGTTCAAATAATAATTTAGAATCATAAAATATGCTGAGATCTTTCACGAGATATACTCTATTGAGCGAGTTGTTATTCAAACAATAATTAGATAAAAATATATAATACTTCTAATTTTGAATCAAAATATCTCAAACTTTCAGAGATCGAACCTAATTTTGAATTTCTTTTTTTAACCAAACAGGCACACATATCCCATTAAGGGTTTTTAAATTCTATATTATTGTGCTAATTTTTTTAGGTCAAGCAATCACTTTAATTTTAATAATGTCTGTCTTTAAATGTTTTACAATTATGTTTTAGTTTTTTGATATAAACTGTTATTCAAATGGAAAATAAATTTACATTATAACTCAATTTTACTGTTTTATTTACTGTTACTAATGATTACAATCGTAGTCCTGTTTTTAGAAGGGGTTCGCAAGCAGAAAAAGTTTAAGAACCGCTGGTATATTACATCTTCAGTTAACCTAGATCATAATTACTAAAATATGAAAATTTTAAATTCTAACAAATCTATGTTCTAATGTTAAATAATTTGTATAATAAAACTTTAACCTTAAACTTTGAAAGCCATTAGTAGTCAAATCTAAACAGCAACTAGAAACTAATAAACATCAGTATAGTCAACATTCAAAACTTTATTATGCAATACACAAACTGTATTTCATACATTCTATATTATATGTTTTTCATATATTCAGACTCACATAACCTAATTTACTTGCGTTTACGACTTATATTAAATGATATTTTATATTATTCAGTTCGTACAAATTTAATTTTTTTATAATAAATCATCCGAACTGTTTTAAATTATAAAATATTAATAAAAAATTTTCGAATATTGATTTATAAAAAAACTTTTGTTTCAGTTCTGCTTTGCGATATCATACAGAAAAGAGAACATCAGACAATACGAATTAAGAGCTTTAAACGAAATGGACTGTAACAGCTGGATTGAAGCTATAAGAGAAGCCAGGTAAGTGTCTTTATAAAACCGCTAAAATATTACAGTCATTCTCATTTATTTTCTGGAAAATAGGATAAAACCTAATTAAACGTTTGTCACGCTCGAAACGTCGACCGTAAATTAAATACAAATCAGTTTTAAACCTACTAACTTCTATTTCCTCGTTCTGCAATTTTTATAATTTATATTCGATACGACATTAATATTTTTTTTATCTAAATAAGACGAAAAATACATATGCCATCCTTCATTTTTGTACCTTGTAATTATTACCTGTCGAAGTAAACCTTCAACATATATTTAAATTAAAACATAGACAAGAATATTTTCAAATTAAAACACAGTACAAAATATATTTGAATTAAAATACAAACCTTAGCCGCCTCTGGCACTTATAGAATCTAATTCTCCTTCAAGCAAGCAACGTTTTTACTTTTAAATTATTTATTGTTTCGGCCTTTACTTGATGAAAATCCATTTTATCTTGAATGAGTAAAACCAAATTTGGTAGATTTTCACAAATCTTTTATTTTAAAAAATAAAAATTAAAAACACTACACATGACATGTTTCGAAGTACAACTTCTTTTTCAAATGTGACTAATTTACAATTCGGTATCCAATATATATGCGAAATAATTTAACAAAACAAAGTACTTAAGAAAACATCAATAACATAACAAAATAAACTAACTATTTAAAGTAAATAAGGGTACTTAGGTAATTATGATATCAATCAGATAACAATAAGATAGTAACATTACCGGGATTATCTCACAGAAAACTAGGAAAGAGATTTAATAAGGGTGAGTTATTTATATCTAATTGATCATTGAGAAGGTTATCTGAATTTTTAAATCTATTTATTTATATTAACATAATGTAATTAAAAAACACTCTGTATAAGCTTCGGGAACAAGAAAAAATGCCTTTCCTGGCATTTTCTGTCGTCTGGTCTTGCTACTTCCAGTGTAGGATTCCGATTTCGGATATTTACTTTTTCAACGAAATTCGGGTTGAAGATTAAACGTTTTTCTGAACCTATGAGGATATTGCTGGCCTTTTTATATTTCGGTGAAAGGCTTGATATAAAAATAGGATTTTGTAACCTAACGAAAAGTGGTCTCTTTTTAGAAATAGATGTAAAATCGTAACTAAAATTCGAAAACAAATTTAATTGCTCTCAAAATGTTTGTATGATTCTCAACTAAGAGTATTTTCCTTTTGGGATTTTGTTATTCAGTAGTTTTAGTCCATTCAGCCAACTTTCATAAAAAAACGCCAAAATAGTCTAATTTATGGTAAATAGTGTATGAAAGTTATACAAAAATTTTGAGAATAATAATTAAACCTCTTTAATTTTTGGTTCCATTGTACACCTATTTAAAAAAATGGGCTACTGTTCACCAGGTTGCAAGATCCTTTTTTGCGTATCAAGCTACATCCCGAATTTCGTTGACAAAAGTAAATATCCGGTCACTTGGTCGGAATCTCTCCCTATACCGGAAGAAACAAAATCGAAAGGCAGAAAATACCGCTAAAATTTGTTTTATGGTTCACATGACTGCTCTCATAGCCGGGATATAGTACAACTTATCCACCCCTCTCCTGCACCAAACTTCAAAAATCGAACGAAAACAGCGATGTGCCACTTTTTGCAATCAGCTAAGGAACTAAAATGATTTTACAATAATTGTGATACGATATTCGAATGCTTCGCTTTCGTTTAAATTTCCATGAAATTGGAATAAAATAAATACTCGTATGTTTTACATTTACATTTTGCCGGAATGCCTGGAATGCCATTTTAATATACAAAACAATTTTATTTCATAGACAAATAAAATCTAGGTAATATAAATGATATTAATTTAAATTACTTTCATAATAATATTTCATTGTACCATTATTGCAGGTTTGTTTCAATATATAAAACAATGAAATAATGAAAAATTAGTTTTATGGTAAACGGTAATTATATTACTTTTATAGTAAAAACATACTCTTTTAATTAGCAATTACAATAAACACCCTTACACATTTTAATTTTAAAGTAAATGATAATTAAATACAACTCTATAGGTATAAAGCAAGATTTATGAATCAACTTTAACTTGGTTACAACAATTTTTTTTTGGTTCTTTAATTTTGTCCCACAGTGTTTATTTCTATATTTTCAACAATACTACCGTAGATATTAACCTTACTCTTGGAGTGTATTCAATATATCAAATGTGGTAATCTTCATAAATAAGATAGGTACACAAAAATGTATATAAGAATGATCTTATCTTATTATTTTTAACCCTTCAATATCACATCATATACTGTTGGCTCCAAAACTAATAAAGGTGCTGGAGTAGGTATATACAGGGTGGGCCACTTAAAAGTTCCACGCCCTCTTATCTTCGTTATTTATTGAGATAATGAAATATTTTTTTTTTGTTGGAAAGACTGGAACAAATACTTTCTTATGATTAATTCAATTATTCTGTAACGTTATGGCTTACTTTCCGGAAATAACAGAAAATCGCAATTTATTTTTTATTTTTAAATTGAAACCCACTTTTTGTATTCTAAATTTGAATTTCTGGGACATTTTTGTATAATAATCGTGTATTAAAAAGTTTCTGGCAGCTGTCAAAATGGCCGCCATATTGGATAATATTGTTTCTAAGCATGTTACTATTAATTCCTTTATGGAAAAAAATATAGAACTGTATGATCTTTATAAAATCTTTGTAAGCTTTAAAATTATCATTGAGACCCATTTACCGTATACCAGTGGCGTATCTAAGCATTTTTATTATTGGCAAACTGTTTAATAATTCCATCCGCCTTTATCTTCGTTGTTAATTGAGATATCGAAATAAAACTTTTTTGTTTAAAAGCTTATAACAGATACCGGATCGAATTGGTCTATGACGTCATGGCTTACTTCCGATTTTCCCGGATATAACTGAAAATCGCATTTTATTTTTAATTTTAAAATGAAAACCCCTTTTTTATTGAAAATTTTAATTTCTAGGAAGAAATGTGTGTTTTCTGACAGGAAGTGTGTGTTAATTGTTCTGTCAGCTGTCAAAATGACCGTTATATTGGTTAATACATTTTATAATATGTTATTGTAAATACGTTTATGGAAAAAATATGGGAATGTATAAAATCTTTGTGAGCTACTCAGTTCTTATTAAGGCCCATTTACAGTATACCAGTGGCGTATCTAAGATTTTCGTTATTAGCAAACCGTTTAATAATTCCACCCGCTCTTATCTTCCTTATTAATTGAAATATCGGAATGAAAATTTGTTTGTTTGAAAGCTTGGAATAAATATTGTCAAATAATTGATTTAACTGGTCTGTGATGTCATGGCTTATTTCCGGTTTTTCGAAAATAACAGTAAATCGCAATTAATTGTTTATTTTTAAATGGAAACCCACTTTTTTATTGAAAATTTATATTTCTTGATCATATCTGTCATCAGACTGAATTCATACGATTTCAGCGCTTGTAACCACTACATCAGTCAACTACCTACTGATAAATAAAATAATAACAAAAAATAGTTATTTATGCTTATAGTAAGTGCATAAAATGGCCTTCAAAAAAGTCCTTTACATACGAATTGCATACGATATTTCTACTACCGTACATATTGCCCACTAAGATTAAAAATACAAAGATTACTTTACGCACTAACGTGTAAATAAAGTTTGAAATAAAATTTTAGTTGTCATTTCAAAATACTAAAAATTGTGTCTTGTTGACGCACTAGTGCGTAAAAAGTTTTACTATACGCACTAATGAAATAAGAAAAACTTTATGCACTCCGTAGTGCGCATAATGTATGTACTTTAACGCACAGTAGCAGAAAAATAAATTATTACGACACACAACAGATCTTTAAATTTAAGAAATGTTTATTTTTATTTTAAAGTAGCTTAATTTCATCAGAAAGATTTAAGGAATCAATATAATAAAACAATACCCATCATACAATAATAAACATTGATAAGTTCAAGAAATTTAAATTTTCAATAAAAAAGTGGGTTTCCATTTAAAAATTAAAAATAAATTGCGATTTACTGTTATTTTCGAAGAACCGGAAGCAAGCCATGATGTCACAGATCAGTTGAAGTAGTATTCGACATAATTTATTCCAAGCTTTTAAACAAAAAAGTTGTCATTCCGATTTCTCAATTAATAAGGAATATAAGAGCGGGTGAAATTATTAAACGTTTTGCAATAACAAAAATCTTAGATACGCCACTGGTACAATGTAAATGGGGTCTTAATGGGAATTTTGAAGCTCACAAAAATATTATAAATGCCCATATTTTTTTCAATAAACGAATTAACAGTAACATATTTAAAAATCTATTATCCAATATGACTGTCATTTTGACAGCTGACAGAAAATTTTCAACAGACGTCACAGACCAATTGAATCGAGTATATGATAGTATTTGTTCCAAGCTTTTAAACAAAAAAGTTTTCGTTCCAATATTTCAATTTACAACGAAGATATAAGGTAAATGGGTCTCAATGAGAATTTTGAAGATAATAAAGATTTTATAAGGATCATACATTCCTATATTTTTTTTTATAAACGAATCAATAGTAACATGTTTAGAACAAATATTATCCAATATGACGTCCATTTTGAAAGCTGTCAGAAAATTTTCAATACACAATTATTATACAAAAATGTCCCAGAAATCCAAATTTGCAATAAAAAAAGTGGGTTTCAATTTAAAAATAAAAAATAAATTACGATTTTCCGTTATTTCCGGAAAAACCGGATGTAAGCCATGACGTCACAGAATAATTGAAACCATCGCAAGAAAGTACTTGTTCTAGTCTTTCAAACAAGAACAAAATTATTTCGATATCTCAATGAATAACCAAGATAAAGTGGGGTGGAACTTTTAAGTGGCCCACCCTGTATAGTGCCAAGCCAAAGATAAAAATCTCACTTATTTTCGTAGTCGATGAATGTATCATTGTAT